GACCTGCCTCTGAGGTCGAACGTCGAGAATCAAGAATCGAGAGACCTGCCTCTGAGGTCGAACGCCGAGAATCAAGAATCGAGAGACCTGCCTCTGAGGTCGAAAAACAAGAACTGAATGCCCACTCCCTGAAGTCATGAATTTGAAAATTTGAACTTATATCTTCCACTTTTTCAATCACTATGTTCGAGCACTCTCCGCCCAATGATGTGGTTATCTCATCTCCTATCGCCCCCAGTTCAACATTTAAAATTCAAGCCTGCTGTGTATTCTTGTTCGAGCAATAATGAATATACTCGACCCGCCACTAAGGTTGAAAAATAATTTCGATAAAACCAGAATCAACAACCAACAACCTTCTCGATCCATAATGAATATACTCGGCCCGCCCCTGCTCGTGACGGAATGAATCCTATCTCCCTGCCTTTGAAGTCGAAAAATCAATTCGACAAAACCAAGATAAAACGCGATCAACCTGCTCGTGACGGAATGAATCCTATCTCTCTGCCTTTGAAGTCGAAAAATCAATTCAACAAAACCAAGATAAAACGCAATCAACCTACTCGTGACGGAATGGATCCCATCTCCCCTCCTTTAAAGTCGAAAAATCAATTCGACAAAATCAAGATAAAATGCAATCAACCTGCTCGTGACGGAATGAATCCCATCTCCCTTCTTTTAAAGTCGAAAAATCAATTCGACAAAATCAAGATAAAACGCAATCAACCTGCTCATGCAGTAATGAATACCATCGACCTACCACCGAGGTCTACTCGATCTATCTGTAATGAATCCTTGAGTTTGCTCGAAATGAGCCTCCTCTATTTTCCATACTGCTCGAACTATCCATAACGAGTTTGATTGACCTTCCACTTCTCAACATATCTCGTAACGCATTTGATCGACCTGCCACCGAGATCAAAATCACAAATATAGCATAACCAAACCATATAAAACCCGCCATCTGCTCAAACCATCCACAATAAACTCTCGCCACTAGGACTAAAAGCACAAATACACAAAACCCAATCCAATAAATCCATAAACCTGTTTGAACAATAACGAGTATCATCTCGACCTGCCACTGAGGTCTAAAAATAAATTCGACAAAATCAGAATGAAATAGGGAATCCACAACCTCCTCGAGCCATCATGAATACCATCGATCTGTCACTGAGGTCATAAAAACCAAATCCAACAAAACCTGAATCAAATAAAGATCGTCGACCTGTCACCGAGGTCTGCTCGAGCTATATCCGTAATGAATCCAACTTACCTTCCCTTTAAGTCAAAAAATGAATTCGACAAAATCAAAACCATGTAAAGATCCCCGACCTGCTTCTGAGGTCTTCAATAAGCTCCATATCTTTAACGACCCAACATTAGAATCGGCCACCCAGCTCGGAGGCCTTAGTCATGGTGGATTTTTTGTCTTCGAACACATGCCCACCTTCGAAGGAGTGGTCGATACATGCGACCACCCAACCCGGAGGCCTTAGTCATGGTGGATTTTTTGTCTTCGAACACATGCCCACCCTCGAAGGAGCGGTCGATACATGCGACCACCCAGCCCAGAAGCCTTAGTCATGGTGGATTTTTTGTCTTCGAACACATGCCCACCCTCGAAGGAGTGTTCGATACATGCGACCACCCAGCCCGGAGGCCTTAGTCATGGTGGATTTTCTGTCTTCGAACACATGCCCACCCTCGAAGGAGCGGTCAATACATGCGACCACCCAGCTCGGAGGCCTTAGTCATGGTGGATTTTTTGTCTTTGAACACATGCTCACCCTCGAAGGAGTGGTCGATACATGCGACCACCCAGCCCGGAGG